TAGGGCACATTGGCCTTATGCTGGCTGCTAATTATCATTGATCAGGTGGAAAAGAGTGGGCAGTGATGCTTGCCCAGTGGGAGGAGCCACAGATGTGACTGAGCTGTATGGGGATAATTACTGCCTCCCAAAACTATACACAAGCAACACAAGATCTGATAACATGAAAGTCAAGTGTATCCAGACATGGGGTTGGCACCCTCAGAACCCAATCACAAGCATAGCAGAGGTTGTACAGGTAGGGGTGCCGCTGGCCACCAGATGGGCAAAGGCAGGGACTGGCCACACCTCCAGCAACCAAGAGAACTTGGGGAACAAAGGAGAATTATAACCACCTCACCACCAACCTTAAGCATGCATCCCATGCATCCAGGTCACTGTATTGATAGACAGCTGCCCTCAAAATTTAGGATGGACACACCATGTCAGATGAGACAACAGCCCATAGTATTTCTACTCTCTCTCCGCACCTGTTCAACTTCTTCTCCCAGCTGGCACTCAGTCCACCTCTCTATCCTTTCCTCTGAAACTCAGGTTTCCAGAATCCCCATCCATACCAGTTTCACTTAGTCTCCCATGACCTAGTTGTGGCAGAAGTTCTGCTCAGTGCATCTGCCACTCCGCCATTTTGTCTTAGAAGTGATTTTGTGTTTTCTTTTCAGCTCCAGTGACTCACAGCTGAACGACTGCAGATGGGTCTCAGGTAAGTTCCTGTTTTCTTAAATCTCCCCTCAAACCATTTTGACTTACAGTAGTTAGACATTTTTTCTATTTCTTCAAACAGCTACTTAACTAAACCATCTGAAGTCTGGTAAATAGAATGATTAAGAAAATTATACTTTAGTCACTACTGATATTATCAGTGATGTTCTTCATCTCTAAGACACCAGCCTGGTAACTGTTTTTAGTCCAAGTGTTCTTCTGTTTATAATCAGTTGCATATCTTTGCCTGGGAAGGTTACTATCTACTCAGCAGTTGATTTAATAATGTTAATGCATACAATATTGTTGACCTAGTATCCCAGATGACAGACAAATGTGGTTACTTCTTCATTAATCAAAGTTCAAATCCTGAAAACCTGACTTTCAAGTTAGTCATCAACTTTCTTTACTTTCAGTAAGGCCATATCTGAGATCATATCTGTTCCCAAAGATGTTGGTTGGATTAAAACACCAACATTGGTATATTTTATGTAACATTTCCTACAACTGTTCACTGAAAAGCAAAACATAAAAATTTTAAATCAATTTTACAATGGAAAGTTTTTCCTTCTCTCTCTTTCTGTCTCTCTATAAATCATTATTTTAATCACCTTTTTTTCTTTTTACCAAAAAAAAAAAAAAAAAAAGAGAGAAGATGTACTGATGTAGACATTAAATATGTTTTCATCCACTTACAATAAATCTGATTTTTATTTCACCAAATGTATAATTATTATTCTCAAAGTAAAGGATGTTTTTTTAATAAAGAGATGCTAAGTCAATATATAAACATGTTTTTTCAAAAGGTTTTTTGTTATTATAATTTAAAAGAATAGTAAATGACAGACAACTTGTGCTTAGAATTTCAATGCACACTTTACCTGATAAGAAGACAGGATTAATAAATCAGAGTGCAGTGACAGAAGACTGTTAAGTTCTCATACAAAAAATTATCATTGATCAAACACTTCAATACTGGGGTGTAATCATTTATCAAATGTTAAAAGTTAGTGGAGTCATTCAACTCTGGAACTCCCTTTTTTATCACCAGATCTCCTTTTAAGTACCTTTCTGACACTCCCTTGAACAACATATAATAATAAGAGTTATGAAATACCAATTTAACTTCTCCAAAAAGACAGTTGCCAAGGTACACATTGAAAGATTCATTAGGCAGACGTCAGATGGGTGGCAAGAAAATAATTCCCCACCTAGTCAGTTCACTAGCTAGTTCAAGCACATTAAAGTATATCGTGAAAGAATTGTAAGTGTCGCTAATGGGATTACAGGTCCCAGAGAAACAGCGACTATATCTTCACACCCAGAACAGCTGTATAACAACAGTGACTCCTCTTCTTGTAGGATCTGAGACACCCTATCATTTTGTCTCGGATTCGACAACAGTATTTCCCACTGAACCCATTTGTGGATTAAATAGTAAATTATGTTGTTAGGACTAGGAATTATCACAGTGCTCTGTTTTGGCACATTTTGATGTACTTTTACTGCTGAATCACTAATACAACACCTTTCCCAGCCTAAGGTTCAAACCTTGGGAGAGAAGACTTCACCCTTCCAAAGCAGGAGGATCTTCAAAACCAAAGTCAAGACATTAAGATCTTGTCCTCGGTGTTCTTGACCAAGTTATGTGATTATAGCCAAAATCTCTTGCACCTGTAAATGAATCAGAAACCTCTGTAAAATGCTGCCACTGAGGTCGTTTTTGAAATGACATAGTATTAAGTAAGGATCATCCTCCTTCGTAGCCTCAAGAGTGAGATTTAAGGAGTTTGGAGTCCCCTAACTCACCCAAGAACGATTTGTGTTTTAATGTAAACAAAACAAAAATCCCCACCACTGGACCAGTAAACAACATTCTTATCAACGGAGAAAAGAGTGAAGTTGTCAAGGACTTCATTCATCTTGGATCAACTATCAACACTCACAGAAGCAGCAGTCAAGAAATCAAACGATGTATTGCATTAGACAAATCTGCTGCACAAGACCTTTTTAAAGTGTTGAAGAGTGAAAAAGATGTCAGCTTGAGGACTAAGGTGCACCTGACCCAAGCCATGGTATTTTCAATAACCTCATATGCATGCAGAAGCTGGACAGTGAATAAGGAAGACCATAGAAGAATTGATGCTTTTGAGTTATGGTGTTGGAGGAGAATATTGAAAGTGCCATGGGCTGCCAAAAGAACCAATAGATCCGTTTTGGAAGAAGTGCAGCCAGAGTGCTCCTTAGAGGCCAAGATGGCCAAACTTCGTCTCTCATACTTTGGACATATTGCGAGGAGGGACCAGTCGCTGGAGAAGGATATCATGTTTGGTAAAGTGGAGGGTCAGAGAAAAAAAGGAAGCCATCCAACGAGATGGATTGGCTAAGTGGCAGCATCGATAGACCCAAGTGTGGCAACAGTGGTGAGGTTGGCCCAGGATTGGGCAATGTTTCGTTCTGCTGTGCATAAGGTCACTATGGGTTGGTACCGACTCGATGGCACCGAACAACAACAAACAACAATTTAGATGAAAGTCCTGGTGTGGCACTGTGGGCTAATGCATCAGACTGCAAAGTCATTTGAACTGCAATTTTGGTGGTTCAAGCTCACCAGCTGCTCCTTGGAAACCTTATACAGGGTCGCTATGAGTTGGAATCGACTCAACAGCACTTAACAGCAACAACAACAATTTAGATTAAAACCATGTTTATTAGGAGTTAGAGATGGTAGCCTAGTGTAGTGCCTTAAGTATAGAGGACTACCAGCATAGTGGCTCTGTGGGCTAATGCGTCAGACTGCCAAGTCGTTTGAACTGCAAAGTCAGTGGCTCAAGCTCACCAGCTGCTCCTTGGAAACCCTATACAGGGTTGCTATGGGTCGGAACTGACTCGACGGCACTTAACAACAACAACACCAGCATATTCTCTGATTCAGTGGGAAGGAGAAACAGAGTTCCTGAAGGACTGCATAACATTTGAGGGAGCTTCAAAATGTTATGGAAAGCAGAATTAAAAGATAATACAAACACATTTTTCTACAAACTGTTTAAAACCCTTTCGTATTCTTTGGGTAAAGGATTGAATTGTGTGGGAAAGTAGGCTACAGAAACTTAACATGACATCATAACACTGCCCATGATAAGCCAAATTTAATAAGGCTTGTATGGTTCTTTAGAAATAAATGCTTTTGGAAGTAATCCAAAGTTGTCCTACCTTAAAAAATATTGTATTTTATAGCAGATCATATTACAGCAACTTCACGTGCATTAATCTAGCTCATTTTTTCCCTATCCCCTTCAGCATACTTTTCTATGACATGCTTAGCATTTTAAATTCTTGTACTGTGCTCTCCATGTCTCAGTGAAAAGATAATCACTCATGCCCTTCGTGTTAAAACAAAACATAAAGTATCGCATGCCATTGAAGGGGGCAGATCATTTTAAAAACCTCTTCCTGTGGCTGTCAGCACACCTCACTGCAGCTGTGATTACTTCTGAAGAGAATTGGAAAGAAATGATGGTGGTACCGTCACAAAAATGCACACATGTTACTACTGACTGCCATCACTGAAACTGTCATGGTCACATGGCTCAATACTTCAGAAGTACTAAGTCTTCTGCATTCAGATTATTTTCCTTAATGAAGGTATTCTGTCTGACCCCACTGGTTTGTTATGAGTCGGAACCAACTTCATTGCATACAGCCATAACCATGAGATTTAAAAGTGATTTCTAGTCGGATTGTCTTGTATAATATTTGAGTGGTCAATTTACAAAATTGGGGCTGGTGATACTGGAAAATAAAAGGTAAGCAAGGAAATGATGTCATGGCAAATAAAAAACAAATAGAATGATGTCACTATTAGGGATATTCAAGAAATTTTTAAGAGAAGTTATCTTTCTAGTAAATAGGAATTAGGACTTTGAATATGGAAGAAGGGAGATAACTTAAAATTTTCACCATGAGATCTTACAACTAATAATTTTTTACTGTACTTATGGTGCATGTTTGTAGTAAAAAAAATCCCCAGAATGTTGCAAGGAAGGTTTTTGGGCATCAAATAATGATACTATTTTGCAGAATTCACTTGGATGCCAATATCATATAGAGAAATTCCTTTGACATGTAGTTGTTTCATTTTTTGTGCTTTTAAGCTGGATATATGGTCTCTGCAAATACAACTGTACTATATTTGTAAATTGTATTAGTAAAAAAGCACTACAGACCTAAGCAGAGGTCACGGCATGGAACCGCCACCACTGCTGGCGCTGCAAAGTCTTGAGTACTAGGTTGCCGCCATGGCCTACTGCCGGCAAGAAGGGAAAGATCAAATTGTATTTGTGACCAAAGAGGACCATGAAACTCCAAGCAATGCAGAGCTGGTGGCTGATGAGGAACATGCACAGAGGATGTCAACAGGTCAGACTGTGTAAACCAGTTCCAGGCCATGCAGGAATGCATGCAGAAATACCCAGACCTCTATCCCCAGGATGATGATGATGATGATGATGATGACAATGAGGAAGATAAGAAGAAGCCAGAAGGTTTAGAGAAAGCATCTCCAACTGAGGCTACTGCAACCCAAATGGAGAAGGGCTCAAGCTAATGAGGCCACAAGAACACTGGGTGCCTGTCCTTCTGCGTCAGGTGGATCAGGAGACCTTTTATGAAATGCCTCTTGGTCACTCGCAGAGAAAGTGTCTTTCCATCTTTTGTTCTGTGCACTGTAATGTACAAAATAACTTATTTTGAGGATCAGTGGTCTGGCTGGGCCCCTTAACAGATAAACTGAAAAAGAACAAGGTGTGTCCCCATTGAAACCTCTTGGTGAATATAGATGCCGCTTTTGAATTCTCTTTTCTCAGATTGCCCTCAATTTTGCCACTTTGAAATAATGTGCTGAATATTCTCAGCAATCAAAAATCCAGGAGTGTTTCTTGTAAGTGAGCTGATTTATTCTAATCCATTATGTCCCTTTTCGTACATATCATACTCCTTTCAAAAAAGAAATGGATACAAAAACATCTTCCTTTAAAAATGCTGGCATGGGGCCATTCCAAATATAAGAGACTAGATCATCAGACACTTCTCAAAAATCACCTCGGTCTTGAGTATATGAGATGGTACTATGAGGTTGTTGGGTAGCTTCATTCCTGATCCATTTTGGTTTTCACATTTGCATTGAGCTGCAGGTTTTCTACATTTGGAATAAGGAGGTTTAGACTCTCCAATTTACAATCCCTCTATAAATGAAGGGAAAGGTTGACCATTCCTGTTTCTTTTTTTCCCCAAAAGCCCTGGTTTGGGGTCTCTGTTAGCACTTGTTCTGTCTCAGCCAGAGTAGGTACCATGTTCTTAAGTGTGGGGACCTAATTATCACCAGAGTAACAGCCCAAAGGGGGAATGACTTGAATTATAAAGTGGGGAAAAGAAAAAGATTTCTGCCTAATTTTGAATGTGTTCTTTGTTTTTACTAAAGATGTTTTTGATGTAAGAAAATGTAAATTTAAAAAATTTTTATTCTTTTTCTTCTTTAAAAAACAAAACAAACAAAACACTACACACCTACCAGCTGGTGAATCAGTGTGGCTTTCCTATTTTTATGATGTTGGAAGCTATGCCGCCGGTATTCAAAATGCCAACAGGATCACCCATGGTGGACAGGTTTTATAAGTGCTTCCAGATGAAGACAAACTAGGAAGAAAGGCTTGGAGATCTACTTCTGAAAATTAGCCAATGAAAACCTTCTGGATCACAACAGAATACTGTCCAGTATAGTAGTGGCAGATGAGCCCTCAGGTTGGAAGGCACTCAGAATGCACAGTGGCTGCAATGATGGAGGCAAGCATGCCAACAATCATGAATGGGGTGAAGAACCAGTCAGCCTCTTGTCCGTTGTGCGTGAGTCACTATGAGTCAGAGCTGAGCTAACAACTAGAATTGATGATAATGAAAAGAAGAGTGAAGACGCTGGGTCTGGCACCTCGCAGTTTTCCACACAGATCGTTAGACCCAGGCAATCCTCAGAGTCTATGAGGGTGAAAAGGTGGGTCCTACAGAGCTCTGGTAGCGTAGTGGTTATGAATTGTGCTGCTAACCCCAAGGTCGGCAGTATGAAACTACCAGCTGTTCCACGGGAGAAAGATAAGGCTTTCTGCTCCCGTAAAGATTTACAGCTTTGGAAACCCTGTGCAAAGTCTCTATGAGTCAGAACTGACTCCACAGTACTTAACAACAACAACAACAACTGAACCAAGCATGGAGCTGCCTCCCACCAGAGGTAATGCTTGTGTGCAATACCACCTCATCGTGTAAGCCACTTTTAGCAAAAATTCTGTTATTTGCAACTAACATCTCTAAGAGTGCTACAAGCAAGTGCAAGGATTGCTCTAAAACTCTGAGAGTCCTGCAGGAACTGGGAAAGATTTCCTGAAGACGATAACCCCAGCTGGATCGAACCCTCAGATCTGTAGCAGCCGTCACTGGGAGATGTGCAGGGTAGGTGTGCCCTGAATTAAGAAGTGATTCTTTGATCTTCTAAACAGTAGAGAATAACTTCCATAAGGAAGCATTTACAGTGGTTAGGTGGTATAAGGTCTTTATTTCACAAAACTTGAAAAAGAGTTGATTTTGAGAGAAACGGAATACCTGTAGAGTCATTTATATAGTCAATGAATACTTGCTGTTGTTAGCTGCTCCCAAGTCAGTTCCAGCTCACCAGGACTCTCTATAGGATTCACCAAGGAGGGTCTGGTGAGCTTGAACTGCTGACCTTATGGTTCAAACCCACCTTGTAATCCAGTGCATTAATGAGCAGCACCATACCCTGACTCCAAATAAATAAAAGGAAATAAAAATGTGCCCAAAAAGTATTTTCCTGTCAATGCATACAAAACTACTTTCTAGCTGAGGACGCAATTGCATACACACCACACAAAACAGTTTTGACTTGTGGGACATTGTATAAGAAGGCCTCGGCATAGTGGTCAAAGCATTGTACTCCTAATCAAATGTCTACCAGTTCAAACATACCAACCACTCTGCAGAGAAAAATATGAGACAGTCTGCTTTCGTAAAGATTTACAACCTTGGAAATGCTTTGGCGCAGTTCTGCTTTGTCCTATGAGGTGGTTATGAGACAACCTGCCAGCAGTGGGTGGATTTTGGAAAAGCTTTATTAGATGTCAGTTTTCACAAAATTATAGGGAATAATAGAATAACATTCACTGAATGCTTACATGGACCAGCTACTCTTCTAAGCGCTTCATGATTGATTCACTTAATTTTTATAACAACCCTATCAGAGAAGAATTATTTCTCCATTTTTACAAATTAGAATGCAGAGAGTTAAGTGACTTGCTCAAGCCAAACAGTAGGCAGTAACAGGATAAGAACCCAACTCATCACACAATATTGTGATCTTCTCTACTGTTTCTCTGTATCAGTTAGGTACTATCAAAGTATGTTTCTACACCTCATGCTTAGGACACATAGAGTTTTGAATACTGTAAGATCTTGTGGCTGTTGCTAAATGCAGTAGAGTAGGCTCTAACTCATAGCGACCCTGTAGAGGGTTTCCAAGGAATGGCTGGTGGGTTTCAACCATCAACCTTGTGACTAGCAGTCCAGTGCCAATCATACAGAGTATCTAGGAATAGTCATTTGTTTTTCTTAATTGCCAAATGGTTTTCAAAGATGTGTTGTTTTGTATTTCATCACTAGAGATTCATGATGGTCCTTTTCTTTAAAACTGATTTTAAAGGGTTGTTTTTCAAATATGCACTTGTTCAAATCCACCCAAGCAGTTGGTCTCCAATCCACCTGAGGTAAATAATGTGCATGAATGAAAAGGGACCACAGGATTTGTCCACAAAAGCACCAACAGGAGATAAGTTCACAAGAAAATCAGACACATCTCCTCACAGTCACGTTTTGGTTGTGCATGAAAAATCACTATTTTCTCTTCCCTGCTTAGAAATAAAGCTAAAAAATCAAGAAAAAGCAGGAAGATAGGAAATACGCAACACTGAAAAACCAGGAGAACAGCGAATCACCTCAAAACTGCAAAAAATCAAAAAGGTAGAATGTATCAAAAGAAGTAGTGATGAAGTAGGGCTGTGAGGGAAAGTTAGATCAAAAAAGAATATCTAGGATGAATTTGACCTGTCTTCTAATACCAAGTTCATAGCTTTCCCTCAGAACCCTTTTCCAACTTCATTCTTTTAAAGATAAAAAAATGATAACAAAATACAAAATAGAGATGGTAGTGGTGGTGGTGACTGTCATGGAGTCGGTTCCAACTCATAGCAACCTTGTATAGGGTTTCCCAGACGGTAAATCTTTACAGACCCAGAAAGCCTCATCTTTCTTCTGCAGAATGGCACTACGGTATCTTCAAACTGCTGACCTTGAACTTAGAAGTTCAACTAGTAACCACTCTGCCACCAGATGCTTTAAAGGCATAGGAAGTACATGAAAGACACAGGAAGTACATGAAAGACACAGGAAGTACATGAAAGTACACCAGTGTTCACCACAGCACTCTTCACAACAGCCCAACAACCCAAATGGTTCAACAAAATGTGGTGTATCTGTCCAATGGGATATTATTCCGCCATAAGGACTGTCTCTTACCCCTATCTAAGAGGACATAGACTTTCCCAATGGGGTTTCAGAATTACCATAAACTAGTCCTGGTGTGGCGCTGTGAGTTAATGTGCCACACTGCAAAGCCATTTGAACAGTAAGGTTGGCAGTTCAAGCTCACTAGCTGCTCCTATACAGGGTGGCTATGGGTCAGAACCGACTGGACAGCACTTAACAACAACAGTAGTCCTGGTGTGGCACTGTAGCGTAAGCATTGGTCCGCAAGGTGGGTTTGAACTGAAAATCCAACGTTTCAAATCCACCCACTACTCCTCAGAAACTGACTACATGGCACACCACCATCACAAATGACTACCAGGATCCCTGATGATGCAAACAGTTTATTTGCTCAGGTGCCAACAATTGATGCTCTCAGCTGCTAATCAAAGGTTGTAGGTTGGAATTCACCTTAGAAGAAAGGTCTAGCGATCTACTTCCAGAAAATCAGCCATGAAAACTCTATGGAGTTCATAGGTCACCATGGTCAAGCTTGACTAGACGGCAACCAGTAATGGTATTAAAAAGAAAAATTTTATTTTGGAGTTGATTGTAATTCATGATGACGCCTTGTGGATCAGAGTTTAAGAGTGCTCCATGGGGTTTTTAAGACTGATTTTTGTCAGAAATAGATTGTCGTTGGTCTTTCTTTCCGGAAACATCTAGGTCATTTTGAACCTCCAACCTAGCAGGCAAGCTCTTAACCATTTGCACAGCCCGGGACAACCAAGGGCTCCTGAACTCGTGTGGAATCTCATTAATTACACAGAAGTGGC